GGGGGGGGGGGGGAAAGTATGTGTCTCAAGTTCTTGTGGTAGAGGAGAAGAGGGCGTTTGACATAATCTGATAAGCGTATATAGAATTTGGCTGGTAAACTGTGTTGCATCTGAGTGAACAACCACTCTTCCTTAACATTACAGTATGCTGATGACACCCAGCTATACATCTTTTTACCAACTGCAGGTGATGCCGTCCTGTCCCTCCAGCGCTGCCTGGGGGCTGTACTGCAGTGGATGCAGGAAAATGGGCTGAGGTTGAACCCCGCCAAGACGGAAGTTCTGAGGGTGGGCGCCCTTGGGGTTTGTGGCCTGGGTGGCTCTCTCACATTTGGGTGTGTGTGTGACCCTGGCTGCTAAGAATGGCCTGGGGGTACACCTGGACCCGATGCTCACCATGGAAACCCAAGTGGTGTCAGTAGTTCGCACCGCCTTTTTCCACCTTTGGTGGATTGCCCGGCTGCGACCCTACCTTGACATGGGGGCGCTCACTACCTTGGTACATGCGCTCGTAATCTCAAGACTAGACCACTGTAACGCGCTCTACGTGGGGCTCCCTTTGAGGCTGATGCGGAAACTTCAGGTGGTGCAGAATGCAGTGGCCAGACTCCGTACTGGAGTGAGAAAACAACATATTTCTCCTGTTCTAGCCAAACTGCACTGGCTGCTCATCTGTTTCCACATTGACTTCAAAGTTCTAATGCTTACCTATAAGGCCCTAAACGATTTAGGACCTCAATACTTGGCGGAGCGCCTGCTCCCACCGAGATCTACTCATCACCCGCACGAGTCAAGAGGTGAGGCTGAGGAGCCTGACGCTGAGGGAGGCCCAGAGGGAAAAGACACGAAGCTGGGCCTTCTCGGCGGTGGCTCCTCGCCTTTGGAACAACCTTACTCCGGAAATTCGCGAGGCCCCAACGCTGGCTACTTTCAAATGCCAACTGAAAACATGGATGTACATCCAGGCCTTCCCTCCTGTCAACCACTGATTTCTTTGCTATTTATTATTTATTTATTCCTGCACTATTTGTTGTTGTTGTGTGCTAATGTTTTTATGTTTTTTTAAAATTGTTTTTGATATTCTGTAAGCCGCCCACAGTAGTAGAATATACCAGATAGGCGGGACATAAATCGAACAAATAAAATAATAAATAAATAAAATTTCGATCTGTTTTATCCCAAGTTGTCTGTTCCTGTTTTGGAATCGTAACTTTGTCAGGAATGAGCAGAAATGAAAAGTTGACTTGGATGTTCTTGCAATTTTGTCATCTTCTGATATATTTGGAAAGAGGGGAAGGGATGGTAGAAGGTTACTCCCCGCCTCGGATAGAGGGAGAAGGATAGGGAGGGAGAGAGAGACGGCATTCATCTGCCTGTAATAGGAAGAGGCAAATATCTAGTGGCAGAGACGTTGAACAGATATGTTGTGGCATAAACTCTTAATGGATTAGAGCTTTCAATAGGAAACTCTGTGCTCCGCTGGCAGATAGTTGGGGTGGGTATATAATAAAATAGAGGAAGAGCATTATGAGGCCAAAGGACTGAAATGCCAGAAATCATTGTAGTCTGTGGCAATTTGGCCTTGCAATGCCCTCTCCCTGTACTGGGAGTTATCCAACGGAAGTACTTCATGTATCAAACGTATGCGTTCAGTACACTAAGGCACACACCTTGATCGATGTCTTGGCAGGCAATTCTATATATATCTCAAAAGCAAGCCTCATGGTAATCTCAGCCTTTAAGGGTGTGTGTGTGTTGGTTTAAGTTCAGGAGAGATGGCAAGGTTGTCAGCAATCTGCCTTTTATAAGCAACCTTACAGGTAGATTAAACAGATGAAATACTTGGTCCTCTTTTTTTGAAAGGGAGAGAGAGAAAAAAAGTCTGGTTTCTTTAATGTTCGCCTCAGAACCTTCTGTGAAATGCAGAGGAGCAAAGTTTATTTGGAATAGGTGAACTTAAATATTTGCAGAGTCGGCTCCTGCAAGACACTAAGTCTAGCGAGATGGGGAGGGATAAGGAAGCCTAATAAGCTTCATGGGGTAGTTACTGATGCTTATATGAGGGGAATACGAAAAGCAAAAAGAGCTATAATTGTACATAAATAAGGAAGCAATAATGGGTACTGGTTGTTGTGGGTTTTTCGGGCTTCTTGGCTGTGTTCTGAAAGTGGTTCTTCCTAACGTTTCGCCAGTCTCTGTGGCCGGCATCTTCAGAGGACAGCAAACTGTGCTCTGGGTAGGCTTGAGAGTGGGTGGAGTATTTATGGCTGTGAGAAGGCTAGTTTGTGAGATAGGCTATTGTCCTGATCAGGAGATGGTTGATTAGTGTGTTTTGTTGTGGCTGTATTGTTTTGATAAGGAGGGGAGATTATCTGTCCCTGTGGTTGATGGGTGTCATTAGCTGGTTTTTTGTGTGCAGTAATCCCTTGACCTTGTGGCTGGGTGGAGTTCCTTGACCTTTTTGCACTCTGTGTTTTTGAGAGCTGGGAGCCAGATTTTGTTGAGTTTCAGACATTCCTCCTTCCGGTTGAAGTTTTGTTGATGCTTGTGGATTTCAATGGTTTCCCTGTGCAGTCTGACGTAATGATTGCTGGTGTTGTCCAATATTTCAGTATTTTGAAATAGAATTTCATGTCCAGTTTGTTTTAGGGCAAGTTCAGCTACTGCAGATTTTTCTGGTTGTTTTAGTCTGCAGTGTCTCTCATGTTCTTTGACTCTGGTGTGGATGCTTCGTTTTGTGGTTCCAATGTATACCAGATGTTTAATGTGTTGATTTATTGTAGTGGGATTATTTCTTGCTCTGCATCTTATATCTTTCCTCATTTTCCTCAGCCTGGAATTGTCCTTTTCTGTTTCTGTCTTCATTGGCTTGAAATTCTGAGACACAGTTGAGGCTGAGGTGAAGGCTAGAACAGCCTTATCTCCTTGTAAGCAACGAACCCAGTCGCTTTGCCAGAAAGAGCTTCTTTGAAATTCTGTGAGAGTTACGTTTCAAAGGTTGGATTGTTAGAAGGAGTTTTGTCATTTGTTTCTGTCAAGGACTGCTCTTGGTAGGTTTTTGGTTCCCTGACATAGTTAATGAGTTGAGAGCTTCGGGAGTGCCATGAGGTGAAGCATCCCCTGGTTTAAAAGACTCAATTCTTAAAAGCAGGTTGGGCTCCATGAAAAATCGGCTCTCAGAGGCCTGGACAAGACTTGCTTGTTAAAAGCTGAATGGGGGTCTCCCGGCAAGCGTGGCGATGTTTGTGCAAGGGACTGAGTGAAATCGGGTGGAACGTTTTTTTAATATGCTGCAGTCTCTCTCCAGCCGTCTTTTGAGAGCCCCTTCTGGAAATAATTAGAGCTGCTAAGAATTGTTAATTCAATATATGTAACAGCAGGGGCCTGATGGGCCTTCCCCCCCCCACCTGTCGCTCCTTTGCCACCCATAAAGAGGCATTAAAATGGGGGAGATTTACTGCCTTCAGAGAAGAGGAGCGTTGCAAATTTCTAAATGGCACCTTCGAAAAGCCACAGCAGCAAAGTAATGCATTTCTGATAGCGGCACTGATCTGGAAGTGGGATTTGAAAGGGACGCGGC